TGTCCACCAATTAGTTGGGTTGGCAATATATAAACCAGCAATGTATGTTTGTAGCTTTAAGACAAAATCACTGTGTTGATTTATACTATATTCCAATTGGTTGATTGTATTGCAGGTTGCCATAAGAGGGAGCTAGAGATCATGGCTTGTTCTCTCTGACATTCTGTATCTCTGACATTCTGTTGCTATCTAAGGTTTATGCTGTGCTTATACTTTGATATTTTTGTTTACTGTAAATGACAAAGGCAACTGGTAAGAAGATTTTGTAATTGGATATTCTTTGGACGTTAAAACGTATATGACCTGGACCGTTTATTGGACTGTGCTATTTCTTAAAGTAAACTTTAACCCAATTCAGTGTATCTGTGTATGGCTGAATAATTATTCATAACTACTCTCATAAATGTTTCCATGTGCATATCCTTGTTACTCAAGGGTTATTCTGTACATATCATAACATTGGTTATGGGCCCAGAGTGATATTGAGAATCAGTGTGAATATACAGTTTCATATTCAGACAGCTGATTGTGGTTTATTGTTAAACTACCAATGGCACAAGAACAGTCAACCAGTATATCCCAGATAACCCGGTTGGATGGAACAAACTATGTTTCCTGGTCTATGAAGTGCAGCCTACTTCTGCGTAAAGATGGATTATGGACTGTAGTTAATAGTCCACCGGATGTAACAGCTTGGGACCCATTGAATGATGAAGATAAAAAGAAAATAGCTGACTTTAGCCAGGATAATGAAAAGGCTCTTAGTATAATTGGACTGACACTGAGTGATCAGCAGTTAGTCCATATTCGTGGTGAAGTATCTGCTGCTAGGTGTTGGGACATTCTGAAGAGGATTTATGTTCGAGATAGTGTGGGTGCACACATACACCTTACACGTAAACTGTTTAGAGCCCGTCTTATAAAAGGTGGTGATATATTAGCTCATTTGGAGTTTATGAAAAGGACTTTACAAGAGCTACAAGAAAAAAAGCTGATTTTCTCGGAGTTGCATCAAGTTTACATCATTCTTTCTTCTTTGGATGAAACTTATGATGATTATGTGTCTTCACTGGAAGTTTTAAACAGAGATGAACTTACATTGACTGGCATAACTGGAAGACTGTTAGAAGAGTCAAGAAGAAGGTAAGATAGAAATCAACTGAAAGAAAGACAACCACAGGAAGAAAAACTGTCTTCAACTGCCTATATTGTTAGGAAATGTTTTTCTTGTGGGGCTAAAGGTCATATAGCCAGATACTGTAAAAAGGGTAAGAAACAGAATGGTATTAATATACAGAGAGTGTATACAGATGTTAGTTTAGCCATATCAAGTACAACTACAACTGTAAACCATGATATATGGGTAGTTGACAGTGGAGCATTGCAGTGTATAACTAAAAGTAAAGAGAGGTTTGTTAACATGACAAAGAGTAAACAGCATGTATCATTAGCTAATGGATGGAAATTGAGAGCATCTGGAGAAGGTACTGCATATTGTTCATGTATTAATGAACGTTTACCTATGTTATATGTACCTAGACTGATATTTAACTTGCTATCTGTAAGAGCAATGGTAAAAGCAGAATTTGTTGTAACCTTTCAGGGAGATAAATGTTTAATTGAAAAACAGGGTAAAAGCGTTACTGCGAGATTGGATAATGGTTTGTTTAAAATTAATTAATGCTAACTCAGTTTATGAGAATAAAAAGCCTCATGATGAATGTATTAATCTGCTCCATAGACGTATGGGACATATAAATTTCAAAATGCTAAAGAAAACTGTTGAGTTATCTCATGGTATAAAATTAAAACCTTGTACAAAGTATTTAAATTGCAATGCTTTCAATCAAGAAAAAAGCAAGGTAACTCCTGCAAATAGGGTAAATGGATTCAAAACCAGTGAACCATTAGAGGTTGTTTTTGCTGATATTATTGGACCTAAGAAGCCTAGTTTAGGTGGAGTATAATTGATCATTTTTCCAGATATGGTTTCTGTTATTTAATGAAAACGAAGATGGAAACATACCAGCATTTTGTAAACTGGCTAAAATTTGCTGAAAGGAAAAAGAAACAGAAAGTTATTAGCTTAGTAACAGATAATGGTACTGAATTTACCAATAGAAAATTTGAAGCCATGTTATAGAAAGCTGGCATTGAACATAAGCGTTCTGCTCCTTATAGACCACAACTTAACTCATATATTGAACGTAGAGGACAAACATTACAGGCTATGGCTAGGACTATGATTTCGGATTCTGGTTTATCAGAGAAACTTTGGGTTGAAGCAATAATGTGTGCTAACCATGTTTTGAATAACGTAGTGAATTCAACGACTGGTGAATTACCATTTACTCATTGGAATGGAAAAAAGCCAGATCTCAGTTATTTACATACATTTGGAACCCCAGCATGGGTTCATATTCCCATGCAAGTAAGGCAAAAGGGACAACATAGAGCGAGACAATTATATTTTGTAGGTTATGAAGCTAATCATAGATCATTTAGATTTTGGGAGCCAGGTACTACTAATGTATATTGCAGTGCAAGTGCTAAATTTCTGGAGCATGTTGGCTGGAGAAAGCTTGAACAGGAATATAATACGGTACAGGATAGTGTTGTTGTTGAGACTCCATTGTTTACCAATAATCCTAATGATAATAATATTGATGATAAGATAGTGGAGGAATCCTCAATGGAGGAATCGTCAATAGAAGAACCCTCTATGACTGTAGAAGACGAGGATTTGATAGGGGAGGTAAAGTTAGAGGACATGCCAACAACATGTACTGAGTTGCCTAGGAGATCAACTAGGGAGAGACGTCCACCTGACAGATTTCAAGCAAGCATTGTATGGCAGGTTAATACAGAACCTTCTAACTTCAATGAAATAAAACTGTATCCTACAAAGAATCAGGTAGCTTGGCAGGAAGCTATGAATAGGGAGTTAAAATCATTAAAGGGTTTAGAGGTGCATAAGGATGTAAAGTTACCACCAGGTGAGCGTGCAATAGGTTGCAAATGGGTGTATAAGATAAAGACTGGTGTGGATGGGACTATTACCCATAAAGCAAGATTAGTTGCTCAAGGATTTGCTCAGTCAGATAAGGACTATGATGAAGTGTTTGCACCTAGTCTGAGAGCAAATACATTGAGAGCAGCATTAGTTTGGGCAGCTAAGAATAAATGTAAAATAAAACATGTAGATGTTGAAACTGCATATCTACATGCACCTTTACAACATACCATCTATATGAAAAAGCCATTAGGTTTAAAGGATGATGGAAAAACTGATTATTGGAAATTAAAGAAGTCTTTATGGTCTAAAGCAATCCGGTTATAAATGGAATAAATTTATTGTAAAGGAATTAGTTTCAATATGTTTTGAAGCTGGTATAGCTGATAGTTGTTTGTTCCGAAGAGAAAAAGATGGTTTAATTTCTCTATTACTGTTATTTACAGATGACATAGCAATTATAACTAAAACTGAACAAGAAGCAAATGATATTGTTTATACATTACAGAAAAAGTTCAGGATTAGAAATTTAGGGGAGATTAAGCATTATTTGGGTCTTGATATAGTGAAAACGAATAAAGGTTTTAAAATTTTGCAAGCCAAGAAGATTAGCCAAATATTAAAACGCTATAACATGGAGCATTGTAAATCTGCTAAGACACCAATGAGTAAGGAATTTACACATAGTGATATCAAAAGTCCTATGTTTGATAAGGAAATATATCAATCCTTAATCGGTAGGCTATCATATCTGAGTAATTGGTCTAGACCAGATATATCTTACAGTGTAAGCCAATTGGCTAGGTATAACGCTGAACCAAATGAAAGGCATTGGCAAGCATCTAAGCGAATAATTAGGTATTTAAAACACACAACCAATTATTCATTATATTTAGAACCAAGAAATGAATTAGTGTTAACTGCATATGCTGATGCAAGTTTTGCTACCGATATAATGACTCGCAAGTCAACATCAGGTATAGTGGTAATGTTGGGTAATGCTTTAATAGGATGGAAGTCTATTAGGCAACAACATATTAGTTTATCCACTATGGAAGCGGAATTCTCAGGTTTATCTTTAATGTGTACAGAATTGATATATTATAAACAGTTGTTGAAGGATATTGGAATTACTGTACGTGATCCGTTTATTGTTTATGAAGGCAATCAATCTGCAATTAGTATGGCTACTAATTTAGCTGTTAAAACAAGGTCTAAACATACTGATTTGAGATATTTGAACCTTAGACAGTGTGTTCAAAATAAATTAATTCAGTTAGAATACTGCATGACTGAACATAATATTGCAGATCATTTCATGAAAGCTCAAGGTGCAATTAAGCATAAAGAGTGTTGTGAGAATTATGGTTTAAAGATGTAATGTATTCTATATTGACCAACCCAAAAGGGGAAAGTTAGGAATCTGTCCACCAATTAGTTGGGTTGGCAATATATAAACCAGCAATGTATGTTTGTAGCTTTAAGACAAAATCACTGTGTTGATTTATATTATATTCCGATTGGTTGATTCTATTGCAGGTTGCCATAAGAGGGAGCTAGAGTTCATGGCTTGTTCTCTCTGACATTCTGTATCTCTGACATTCTGTTGCTATCTAAGGTTTATGCTGTGCTTATACTTTGATATTTTTGTTTACTGTAAATAACAAAGGCAACCGGTAAGAAGACTTTGTAATTTTATTAATTTTATTAATTTTCAAAGACAATACACAAACAAACAAAACATAAAACATAAAACATCTTTTCTGAAAGCTGCTTATTAATAATTATTCATAACTACTCTCATAAACGTTTCCATGTTCATATCCTTGTTACTCAAGGGTTATTCTGTACGTATCATAACATAGTTCAACCTTCTGCTTAAGGCAGAAGACCTCATACATACACAAGTTAGCAAACTGCAGGCAGCCTTCCCCACTACACACTTCCTCCTCCAAAATTCTCTTTGTCTTCACTTTGTCTTTTGCAGAAATACAAGGTCAGTCATGCTTGGATGGATCCCAACGAGGCACTGGGAAAGACTGTCCATTCTGTGGAAAGTCCTTCAGATCTTCCCACCATCTCAAAGTTCACCTCCGTGTCCACACAGGTAAGAGTCAGGAGCAGCAACATGGGGTAAGTACTGTAAATATGGAAGTAGGTGGTAAGGTTCATTTGCTTACAACTTAACCTTTCACATTAAATCATCTCTGAAACTGATCTTTTTGAAAGTATACTACAGGAAGACCATTTGGTTTAGACCACAAATTTCAGTGTCCAAGTTGGGTGAAAAACACTCTTCTATTAGCATGGTACATAACCAGTGCTGTCTTCAAGTCAGACGCCTAAATGGACTCTCCTGCCATATGTTGCAACCAACCAGAAAAAAAAATCACCCCAAAGAAAAATAATTCCACATCATTGCTCTGCCAATTAATTTCTCCCCTTTTTTTCCTATAGGTGAGCGCCCATACAAGTGCCCTCACTGTGACTATGCCGGCACTCAGTCTGGCTCACTCAAATATCACCTGCAGCGCCACCACCAGGAACAAAAGAATGCTGCTGCAGCTGTAGCAACAATGGAACAGTGCCACATACCCCTGGCCCCTACTGCAGTCCCTGCCTTTCCCCCTACGCAGCTCACCAAGAGTCATGGGTCCTTCCTTCCTCTAGGTGACATGGGGGCAGCTCGGTCCCACCAATCCCGCCGCAAGTCACTGCTAAATGGGAAGGCTGATTTCCAGCCATTGGATCTTTCCCTACGTCCAGCCCTGGCAGGAGGAGCCCTCCACCATTGCCAGTTTTGCCCCTTTGCCACCTCAGCTCTTGAGCTTATGGAATTACACCTTCAAGTCCATCACAGTAGGAAAGCTCGTACCCGTCACTGCTCTCACATGGCTCCTAAAGCCCAGGTGATGTTGGAGGAAGAAATAGTTGAACTGAAAGGACCAGAATCCCCAAGCCCAAAGGGGGAGATTTCCAAGACACACAATTTCTGGTCCTCCAAAGATCAGGAAGTCTCTTGCTGTCTCAAGTTGCCTCAGGGGAAACTGAGTTCTGAGGAAGCAATAATTGCCAGCCTTCCTTCTGAAACTACACTGAATCAGCAAGGATGGGAGAAGCTATCACAAGACTCTGAGGAGCCAAAGCATGAGAAGGAATTGTCTGGTCCACTGGTCCGAAAAGGACCACATCAGGAGCCTTCAAAGACAGGAGAAGGCATAATGGAATTACAGCTGGAGCAGGTACAGGCCTGAGTCTACTCTGCATATATAAACCAGTTCCAGATCTGTTTAGCTGTCATGATGACTCGCAACCAAGGGACCTGGGAATTGTAGCACTGTTCTATCTATTGTATAATAATTCCCAGTCTTTAGGAAGGACTTGATAGGTAGATAAAAATGCCAAATCCAGCCTAAACATCTGGCTGACTGTGACAAAGCCATAATTAATAATAATGCATGCAAAGCTACATTTCCCAAAGTTCATAGGCAGGGGCTTTGCAGAGCCCATAGCATAGTGATAAAACACATGCTTTGCATGCATTAAAGTTCCAGATTCAATATTTCCTTTCTGTCTTCAAAACAAAAACATATCAGGGCTGGGGAAAGTGCCTGTGATCTTGACTGGACGTTTCCTCCTAGAACAGGCAGTAAGGAGGCTAGAGCAAGGGTCTTCAAACTTGGCAAGTTTAAGACTTGTGGACTTCAACTCCCAGAATTCCTGAGCCAACATGACTGGAGGAGGAATTCTGGGAGTTGAAGTCCACAAGTCTTAAACTTGCCAAGTTTGAACACCCCTGGGCTAGAGGGACCAATGTCTGCCTCAAGAAAAAGCAGATCTATAAGGCAGTGAAAGCAGTTTCAGACCTGTCTACATCTGTAGTGTAGATTTGCAGAGACAGCTTGTGAGTGGTCACCTCACATATGACAGGGTCATGCAGCCATCTGCAAGAGGTTTTGGAGTAAGACGTAGAATTATCAACTATTTTTTAAAATAGTTCTCTCTATTTTTAACAGCAGCAAGACAAACATAGCAAGATACAGGTATTACCTGCCAAACAGTTAATAGCAGCACAAGAGCTCCAGGAGGAAAAGAAAAAGACAAAGCTACAACACAACCAAGTACTGACCCTGGAAGGTAAAAGCTGTAGCTGCAGTGGAGCACTGGTTAAGGACCAGGGAAAGCATAGCAAGGAGATTCAATTCATGCCTTATGTTGATGGGGAAAATTGCAGTTTGGCTGTATGGGATTATAATCCTCATGATCAAGAAAGCTGCTTGCTGGGGGCTCTCAATTGCAAAAACAAAACACCCTAGTGAACACCCTGCAGAAACTCCCTGTCTACACGAAGAGGACAGGTTTACAGGATATGCTGCTGGTACTGGTGTCCCTGTCTCCTCTCCATGCACTGGATATTGAAAGGGCTGCTGTAGCAGTTATATTTAGTCAAACAGGGCTTGGAGGTGTATTAGTGTTCAAACCCCTTGTTTTTTCTTCAGTTCTGAGCTTGATGCTGCTTCTTTTAGGTGCCACAGTCTGAGGATCTGGCCCCTTGGGGAACCTACTGTTGAGATGTGGAGGGATGCTGGGCTTTGTTAGGGATATACACCCTAGCAGAACGTGCAATGGCAGTCTAGCAGGCAGGCAAATATGTGAGATAAACGTTGTTGTAGCTTACGCTCAGTAAGACAGATACACTGTGCCAGTTAAATAGTTTTTATTCCAGTCAGAGTTATAGCATAGTCAAACAGTCCATATATCATACACTAGTTCAGTCCATCCGGGTATTAATCAGTTGCAAAGTCCAGTGTCGAAAAAGAGGTCAGTAAACTTACAAACAATCAGTCCAGCGATATATCTCTTTTGCAGTTTGAGATATGAAGAAATCAAACCTCTTTTCTTCTTTCAGCAAAAGCAGGGAAAATACGCAGTTATCACCATCAATCCATCATTGTCAGCAATCCAGTAAAAGCCAGCAAACAGTGAGCTCTCTTGCTCCCTCTTATGGTGATCTTACAACCGCACCCAAAATACATGGTCTGCATTTAAAGTGACACACACAATCATAGTCTATATATATTATTTTACCCAAACTAAGTTAGGTAACCATGTTATTCCTAACAGGCTTCATGGGGACAAGACTCCTCTAGTAGTTCTTGGAAGTTTTCTTTCTTTTTTTTAAGGGGAACATTTCTGCAGTTGTAGCTTTTCTCACCATAGTGTTCATGTGGTGGGAGAAGCTGAGCTTGTCCAAATTCTCTAGTCTCCAATTATTCATAACCCGGGAGCCCTGTCCCCATTACCCTGCCATAACTCCTAGAGGCATGGCAGTCTTCACCAACCATTCTTGGCCCAAGGGGATTTCAAGCACCTGGGATGTGGCTTTGTCTCATCAAATCCAGGTGCTTCAGCCTCTCATGTTCAAGCAAGCTACCTGATGCCACTATCTTATCTCTGTAGTGACCCAGCAACAGAGCTGTGTTTCTGTAGTGACCTGGCACATCAGAGTGCTTGACAACTTCTAGAGTTTTCTATTTTTTAAATTATTTTCTTGTAGAAAATTTGAAACTGGAAATAAAAATTACATTGAAAAATTATGTATAGCTTGTATGGGTCTGCATTTTAAAACAATGTCTTAAGCAGCAATAGATTGTGCTATGTGTGATGACCTGGGACGTGACACAAAAATAACAAAGTCACCAAAGTAGAATAAATTCCCTTTAATGCCTCCAACTTGGCCCCAATGTCCAATTATCCTCGGCTGGATAACAAACTCTTCAAAAAACAGTCTACGAAGGGCAGAAATGCAGTCCGAACCCAAAGTAAAGATAATTAGAAATAAAAAACAACAACACAAACCACACTGAAGTAATTAATACGGCAGGCCAGGATGATAAATTGCAGACTTTCAAAGGATAATGTAGCACCCGCAGTTGGGAGGATGCCAAAACCCAGATAAGGCTCAACCAAGATAATGCACACTTTGCTTCCAGAAAGGAGCCATGTGCAAATGCCCCACTTATATCCTATTCTCCCAGCTGCAACTAATGAAAGGGATCAGGGCCTTCTTCTCTCTCATAAGCCATGTTGCTCCCTTCTCCATTCCTCCCTGCATGCCCTAGGATGAAGAGGGGCTGGCCCTGGGTCTTCCTCTGAATGCCCAGCTGGACTGTGCCCTTCCCCCATTTCTTCCACAGCCACCAGAGCCACAGTCCTCCCTGTCAGCTGCTCAATCTCCTCCTCAGAATCAGACTCCAACAAGGGCATGACACTATGAGAGGTGAATTGCAGTTTCCTCACATCTTTTAAGAAAAAAAAGCCTTCCCATTCCTTTGAAGGATTAAATTGAATTCCCAGAGAACCATAAACATAATCAAGAAGATAGCATAACTGAGCTTCCACTTTCACTTGTTTTAGCTGCCTCTTTCTATTTGAGTTGCTGGTCCTTTCTTTTTTGATCTAAGACTGCACATGTTTTAATGGCACTTGAAAACATGTACACAATAAATATGAAAAACTGCTGCATGGGTTTGGGCACATAAGAAAAATAAGATTCTAATCCTAGAAACCAGATAAAAAAAACAAAGCATAACCGAGTTTGGCAAAACTCAATACATGCAGCAGAACCAGGGGTGGGATTCTACTGGTTCAGACTGGTTCTATAGAACTGGTTGTTATGATTCTGCGCAGTTCAGAGAACCGGCAAATCATGCCCCTGGCTGGCCCCTCCCCTCTCTGCCCGCCCAGTCAGTCCTTATTGCGCATGCGCAACATTGCGTGCATGCCCGACATCACTGACTGCAGTCACTCCTTAAGGTATTTCTTTTCCCCCTTCCCGACGATCAGCTGTTCCTATGATCAGCTGTGCCGGGATTCCCTTTGCTTACTTACTGCTTCGCCCAGGAGGCTTCCCTGAGGCCCAGGAAGGCAAAAAATGGAGGGGGGTGCAGCACCCCGCCCGCCACCTCCATTTTTTCCCTTCCTGAGCCCCAGGGAAGCCTTCTGGGAGCAAAAACGCCCCCAGGAGGCTTCCCTGAGGCCCAGGAGGCCCCCAAAATGGGAGGGCTGCCAAAAAAGAAGAAGCCACACTCACCCAGTCACATGGCCATGCCCACCTAGCCTCAACTACCTAGCCACGCCCACCAAACCAGTTGTTACAAAATTTGAATCCCACCCAGGAATTGACAATCTAAGCATGAATTTCATGATAATTTTATTTTTCCTCTGAATCATTTGTACACTAAAATAATTTGTGCTCTGCCTTCTTATGCTCTTTAGGCAAGGTAGACAGAAACAAAACAAAGTTTGCAAAGAACTAAAAAAATTACAAGCTTAAATCAAAGCAACTACTCTCACACACATATAACTTATCAAAAGAAAAAAAATCTACCATTATTATTATTACACTACAGACATAATACAGCTGGAAGTAGCTGCCAAAGATTAACAAATCAACAATGAATCACTTCTGTCAAAATATATAAAGATCTCAATAAATTCTAAAACAGTATTTTAAAGGCTTAAACTTATTTTTTTTAACAAATTTTATTGATTTTCAAAAACAAACACAAACAAACAAAACATAAAACATAAAAACATAAAACATCTTTTTTTTTAAAAAAGTTTTATTGATTTTAACAACAAACCAAAAAAACACATAAAACATAAAACATAACATAAAAACATCATCATCCTTCATAAATTTACAGACAGTGTATCGGTTGGTTTACCACTCCTTTTTGTGCATTCATTTCATAGTCATTATAATAATTATATTACATAATAACTCATATTATCAATCAACAATTATATATCCTAGTATCATTATTAAACAATCATTTGACTATAATTTAACTAATTCATACTTAAGCGAGATAACTATAGTTTAGTTAATTTTTTCCCCAACAAATCATAAAATCATACCAAATCTATCTTAATAAAGTATTATAAAAGTATTATCAACCCCCCCCCCCAAAATGTATATTCATTATTTCCTAAATCTCTAAATATTTTATTATTATATTGTATTATCCAACCATTGATAAAAAAGATCCCAAACTTCATAAAATTGTTTATCTTCTTGTTCTCTAATTTCAAATGTCAATCTACTCATTTCTGCACATTCCAATATTTTCTTAATAACTTCTTCTTCTGAAGGTATTTTCTCATTCTTCCAATTTTTAGCAAATACAATCCTAGCCGCTGTTAATACATTTACAATCAAATACTTTAAATTTTTATTATATGTATCAGG